ACCAGGTGGCCGACTGCACCGAGAGCAAGCCCGTGCGATGTGAGACATGGAAGGGCTTCGGGCACGACAAGAGCAAGTACTCGACCGAGGAGAAGGTGCTCGTGGTGGAAGTGCCGGCGGGGGGGGCGTCTGCGGACGCCACAGCACTGGACGTGGCAGAATTGGCGCTGGTGGTCGGTGACATCTCAGGCGAGTGTCACAAAGTCGTTGGTCGAGGGGGTGTAGAGCAGGCTAGGCGGGGGAGGTATGTTGCCGATACCGGCGCTACCACCCACATGTTCGTGAACTCAGATGGGTTCATTCGTTACGAAGAGTGTGATCGACGTGTGCGCGTCGCAGCCGGAGAAACGTTTTTCCCCATCGTGGGGTACGGCGACGTGACGGTAACCCTGAGCTCACGCGACGGTACAACCGACCTGTTGTTGAAACGGGTTGCGCACGTTCCCCGACTAGAGTACAACCTAGTATCTCTCACTTCCCTCTTCGACGATGGGTTCGAACCCAAAACCCTCAATAAACACGAGTTGGAACTGGAGAGAGGGGGGGGGGAGTTGGTGTACTTCCCCCGGTGCGGTCACCTGTACGCCCAAAACGTTTTCCGCACACACACCGAACATGCCTATGCCGCCATTGCTCCTGGCAACGCGAAAGTGTCCAGCGCCCCCGTTGACATCAACGATTTCCACTGCGCGCACGGCCACTCCCACGAGGTGCTGCTGAGGACCACGGCGAAGCAGCAAGGGACGACGCTGGNGTGGATTTGAGTTGAGTGGAAAAGCTAGGGTGCAGAGCTTGGGGGGGAAGTGGTACACTCATTGTCAAGGATGATTACACATGGAACCGTGTCTATTTCCTGAAGCACAAATCAGACGCAGCTGAGGCATTCGAGAGATACCTTGCCGAAAACCGGGCAAACGGTGCCCCGTCCGATGTCATGGTCGTGAGATCTGACAACGGAGGAGAGTTCTTTGAGGGAGAGTTCGGCAGGGTGTGCCGGAAGTACTGCATCAAACAGGAGTTCACCCCCGCACACAGCCCAGAATACAACGGTGTAGCTGAGAGAGCACTGGGTCTTATCAAAGATGCAGCACTAACCTCCCGTATCCAAGCGCCAACTCTTTACCCCGGAGCACCGAACTACCCATCCCTTTGGGCCGAGGCCATAGCTTGGTCATGCAACGCCCTGAACTGCACCTCCACCACATCCAACCCAGAGAAGAAGTCGCCGTACGAGATGTGGCACGGGCAACCTCCCCCGCCGGGGGCGACGTACCCGATCCTCAAACCTGCCGTATACAAGGTCAAGCGCACGCACAAGTCCGAGGCGAAAGCCCAAACGTGTTCTTACTTCGGCCCGGGAATCAACACCAACCGTGATTGCGTGCGCATCCTGAACGAAGAACGCCGAGCGATCACAACTCGCAACTTCACCTGGCAATCCGTGCCCGTTGCCCCCACCGCCCCGCCTTAGTCGCTGCCTCCCATCGCAGAGGAGGAAGAGGAATTCGCGACTGGGGAGGACAAGGTTGGCGAGGGCGCTCGAGCCAAGGTGGAGGGAGGGCGGAGAGAGAACCTGTGGATGGAGGACCAGGTTTCAACCTTGGCACGACGGCAGCCCCCGGGGCCCGCGTGGCGCCCCCTTGAGCAGGGAGGGCGCGAGCGTCGCCCCATCTACCACGTCGGCCGGCATGCCCGATGTGGCCGGCGGCGAGGACGACCGCAGCAGCAGCAGCCGCGGTAGCGGCGGCAGCGGCAACGGCAGCAACAGCGGCAGCAACAGCGGCAGCGGCAGCGACAGCGACAGCGACAGCGACAGCGACAGCGAGACGGATCTCCCGGCGCTCCGCGGGCCAGAGGCCCGGCGGCTCGCCTGCTTCGACAAGCCGGCGGAACTCACCAGCCGCCGCACCAGGGAGAACCCTCGCCGAAACCCGAGGTACGCGTCGCCCCCGTCGCCGACAAGTGCCGAAGCCCTGCTCGCCCCGGTGGCGAGACTGCCCGTCAGCAGCACGGAGGAGTTCACCGGCTGGATGCTCTCGGCGGTACTTCACGTGGCGGAAGGGCTAGCGGCGAGGGCGGTGGGAGAGTTGCTGTTCGAGCGCGCGGAGGAGGCCCATGCTGCGCGCCAAGAGGCGGAGGGCTACCTGCTGGGTGCGGTGGACCTCATGCTCAACTCGCCAGACGCCTTCGAGACGGCTCTGGCGTCCCACGAGCTAAGTGAATCCCCCATAGGCAAGCGTCCGAGTGATGTAGAAGCCCCACCCATGACTGTAGCCGGCGTTGCCAAGTCTGTTTACCGAGAGGGGTGGGAACAGGCCATGAGGGAAGAGTTTGAAGGGCACTTGGGCACGGGGACGTTTTCATTCGTAGACGGTGCGCCAGAGGGGCGCAGGCCTGTGAGCTCAAAGTGGTGTTTTAGTTGGAAGACCAACAAGGAGGGGAAGATAAACAAGTTCAAAGCGCGTCTGGTTGCTAGGAGGTTTTCGCAAATCCCGAACGTCGATTATTCCCATTCGTCTTCCCCTTGCCCATCATCCGCATGCATTGAACTGACGCTTGCGGTAGCAAACGAGAAGGGCATGAACCTCGATCACTGGGATGTGAAGCAGGCGCACACACACGCCACGCTAGACGAGGAGGTTTTTCTGA